GTTAGACTGCACAGTTACAACTTCAAATATTTTTGCTAGTTGCACCAAAATGGTGAGAAACAAATCACTTTGGACAGACTGCTCTGAAATAATGATGTGTGTCACAGGCTGTAAGTAGAACATTTGTCACAATGCCACAATATTTTTACCATTAAATCACCTCCTGCTGATCTCCAAAGGGGGAATCCCTCTGTTACCTGTCCTGACAACTTTCAGTGAGAACAATTCAGGTTCCTGAGGTCCTGGGCTATTATGCATAAGAGTGAACTGAAAATAGGCTAGATTTGGCTTTTTTTCATCACTGTGATCATTTTTTCAGGGCAGGATTCACAGAAATGCTGGTGGGAGCTGTCCCTGATCAGATCTTTGGTGGAAAACCTAAGTTTGGTTTGTTGTGCACTACAGGCCTATTGCTTTAGAACTGAAGTTCCTCCTCTGTTAACTCAGGCTCTGATGAACTGGGAAACTTGATTGGCACAAAGCAGGAAGAAGAAACCTGCTGAAGAAACAATACAAAATTTATCTCCTACACTTTCAAGCATTTCAGCATTAATTCTCATCACCTGAGCCCTGCTGGAGTCAGCACGTGGTCCCATGCCCTCAGTGTTTGCAGGACAGGGATCACAGTGCTGCTTTATATCCTAATTTATTTTATGTTGCTCCAAAATGCAGAGTGAGCCAAAATTGCTTCTGTAAGTGCACAAAGGTGTCAATTCCTGCATGAATAGGACCTGCTGCTCTGAGGTGGGCAGGAAGGTTTGACCCAGTGTCTGCAAGTACGACCTTCAAGAGGGAGAGCTTTTGCATCCCTGATTCGTGCTAGTTTCGAGTGTTTGGAGGAAAGTGGGGCATCTCTCCAAAGCATTTGAATCACATGGGGCAATGGCTGGCTTTTGAATTCAGTGTCAACAATGCAGGCAGTGCCTGTGAGGAATCAGTCAGACTGGTACTCTCTGTGCTGTGCAAGTGCTGTGACAGGCAGGGCAGTCTCAGAGGGTTTGCCTGCTCTCAGAGATGCAGCACATTTAAAGATACAGAAAAGGCTCTCAGCAGTGAGAGAGCAGCCAGAGAGCAGCTCTGATGGTGGGCAGTAAGAGCACAGTGTTGTGCCATGCCTGGCTCCTCACCAGGCTGCAGGACACTGGCCTGGGGCCATCTTCTCCTGGTGGCACTGGCTTGATTGAAGTCAAGTGAGTGGCACTTGTCTGATGCTGTTTCCATCACATTTGTGCATGAGACTGCAGGGTGTGGTTCCTGAAGTGGAATTTAATTTCTGTTTTATTTTTTATTCTTAGTTTTTAATCCTAAAGTAGTGGCACACCAGACAGATGGACTTCCAGAACATTCTGAATGACTGAGTCTCACCACTTAATGGTGCAGCACACTTGTACTCCAGTCTGACTCCAGTGATCCTGTGCTTAAGGTTCTCATTGAAAACTGAACACAAAAAAGCCCAAATCTCTTACATCCAAAAGATACAAAGTCCAAAACCACCCCTTCAAAACCTGCAACCTTCTTAATCCAAAGAGTTTGTCCTGGCTCTGGGGAAATGCAAACAAGACTCATGGTGTGACCTTCCCTCTTTGGTTACACAGACAGGTTGCTTAACAAGGCTTCCCAAAGCAAAACAGGCATGGAGGGAGTTTCAAGGAGATGATGGTTAGTGCAAAACTCTGGCTAACAGCTCTTTAAACCCCCTCAATGACAGGGATTTTGGACCTCTAGTTATTTCCTGCCGTGCCAGCCAAATTCAGCATTTCCCTGTAGAAGAAGCAATTGGCCAGGTGAGTGTGAAGGCAGGATCTGGACCTAGATGTGCACTGCTGCACCTCCATGCAACAGCCTCTGATGAACCTGTAGCTCTGCAAGCATTCACCTTACTTTGTGCTTGGAGCATGGATGTATAGAAAGATTATTTATTTTTTTTAATATCTCTGTTCATTTGCTCTGGTGGTTGCTCACTGGGACCTGCAAACTCAACCTTCTCTGGGCTGCTGCCTTCTTATTTAGTGTCCATGGCAGGCAGATAAGTGTGAACATTAAAATAGCATTTATGTAATTGTCTAATGTTGCTGTTGAATATAGGCTTGTGTGTATTAATCCCAGGAGTTGAGCAGGAATGTAACCTCGTTGAGAAGGGGCAGAAGAGAGGAATGATGGACATGATTTTTTTCAGGAGACAAAAGCAGTGATCTGGGGCACTGTTTCCACTTGTGCTCCAGGCTTCCCATGTGACTTTGGATAAAAGGTTGTACCCTTTTGGTACCTCAGTTTCTTCTCCATTAAATTAGAATTTCAAACTCATTCCTGTAATTGTGTAATTGAGTGAGAGACAAGAGCTGCAGACACACAGCTACCAAAAGGTCCAGCAAATTGCAGAGTTTGGTTTTGAAAGATGCCAGTGCCACCAGCCAAGTTTATGAGTTTAGGTGCCTCACCTGCTTAAAATGTTTCAGGAATTATATTAGGAACCAGGCTGCTGAGTGTCAAAGTGCCACAAAGATTACAGCTCTAGGGTTTTTCATGTCCTAGCAGGTTTGAAACTGGAGACTTGTATTCCTTGTTTGCTGAACCAATTCTTAAAACACTGCTAAGTCATAATGCTCTTGTTGTTGTTTGTCTGTTTTGTCTAAGTAGGCTCTAGCAGAACAATTTCAATCTCTTTTATTTTGTGTTTGTGCTGTGCTGGATATACAGCCCCGATTTTAGTTCCTATGTAGATGGAAGTTCATTAAAAATAACAATAGTTTTACTAATGGGGATAACTATGTGAAGCCAGGATTCACACTAAATTAGTATCTACTAGTGGCTTAGATCTATAATGAAGATTTCCTTGCTCTTTGTGTGTGCCTTAATTCATTATGGAGATGTCCATAATATTTTATAAAAAATATTTTTGTTTTTTGTTAGTTTTGTTTTTATTAATATGTTTTTACCTTTTTTCCCTGAAACTCTTGCCCAGAACTATTGGAAAAGCATGTGCTTTCCTGTAACAACAGAATGAGACAAATAGCACTACTTGCTTTGATTATTGCACAGAAGTGGTTTTCCTTTGGACACAGATAGACTTGGCAATGGAAAGTGGCTGGAGACTAATGGACAAGAGCTTCAAAGCTTTCTGTGTGGGCCCTTGGAAGACAAAAAAAAAAAAAGAATATCTCATCTCTCTTCTAATCAGTCCAGATTATAAAGAAAAGTACTCCAGCTCCAAGCTCGTGGGGAAACTCTTACCTTTAGTCAGAGTGGGCAGCAAGTGCTATCCCTGTATGCAACTGCAGGATTAAAAATGAATAGAATAAGAAGGAAAAAATGAGGCAGAGTAATTTTGTGCTCTGGAAACTGGATAATTCACCTGTCTACAGGTATTTATTCTGGTGGCCTTTAGGGACATTTTCAAGTCACAGCAGAAGGAAGGCTAAAATTGTTTCAAGGAGTCCCCATAGAGTTAAGTGAGTGGGAAATGTATCAATTTGAATGTGAGCAAAAGTAGTTAAATTCAGATCCCTTTTCTAATTTGTTGCATCAGAATCTTTCTCAGATCTGCTCCTCCATTATCCCATCAAATAGCCCCTATTTATTCATTTATTTATTTCTTCACATACATTGAGGGAGAAAAGGGAAGGAGTCACTCCCCACAGTGAGGACCATCTGCTCTTTTCTTATTGGGAGGGAAAAAACCCTACAATTAGTGTCTTGTTCATCTTTTTGTTTTACCAAAAAAAAAAGAGAGGGGGGAAAGAAAGTAAAAGAACTATTATGCAAATATCTGCAATTTGGTTTCAAATATTCTTTGTACTATGATGAGCAATTTCTTTTAATACAAACTCAGCCTGTTGCCAGAACTTATTTTTTTTTTTAATTTTTTTTTCTATTTTGCCTTAATATAGAGAAGGGAAAAAATCCCCCAACTTTTATGTTCCTCTGGTGGCAAATTTGTCTCATCTTTTTTATTTTTTTCTTTCTTTCTTTGGCACTATTACAGCTGTAAGTTGTCAGATGTCATATTAGGGTTTTTTTTGAGGAAAAAAAAAAGAAGACAGCCAAAATAGCCTTACAAAGGCACGATTTCAACTCACTTTTCATTGTTCCATTGCCATGATGAAGTGGTCTTGAAATGGAGGACTCGGTGAATGAGAGAGAAGAGCTTGGTCCTTGCTACATTTGAATGCCAGTTAGTTGTGATGGCAGCATTACCTCTAAGAACAATCATGTAGGGATTTTATAAGGTCAGGCTGTGAACTTTAGGGTCACACAGCATAGCCAAGATTAAACCTTCTGGTCCTTGGTCCTGGACCAGCTTGGTAGCTGAAACCCAGCATGGTAGCTGTAAACTTCTTACAGTCTGGAAAAGGGAAATAAAGCCTTTCCTGAGTGAAAAGCTAAAGTGGGGAAAAAAAACCAAAATGAACTCATCCAAGATCTGATGGAAGAGGTCATGGAACAATCTCACTGAGCTAAGAGGCTCAGATTTAGAAAGCAAACTTGGGGTAAATGACTTCATTGTCTGCAGCCTCACATATTGGGAAGATTAACCCCCAATATGCAAATGAGCCAAACTTATAAAAGTGTGAAAACACATGGCCCATCATCCTTTTTTTTTTGAGTGTAGCCCCTGGGGGAGCTTCATCTGCCCTAAATGTACCTGAAGGCTTTTCAATAAATATACCCACTTTTTATTCCCTTAATTTTGTTTGGCCTCTGTTTTTAGGTAGTCCCAAAAAGGCAGCAAAAGAAGACCAAGGAGATTGTAAATATGTCACACCTATGTCTTTGTGCCTGCAACAGGACAGGGAATTCAGGGCAGTGTAGGATTTTAGATTTGTGCAGACTCTTTGGTTTTTTTGGGACTCAGAATATCACATGGGCATTCCATCAGACTGGAGCCTAGAAATGGATAGACAGGAATTCACGGTGCTCAGGGGACCCTGATCCCCCTTTAGTCACTCCTGGGCATCTTTGAGCACGCTGGGGTAACGTTTGGGTCACTTTTATCGTTCCAGGAAGCTCTCATCATGGCCAGCATGGACCACCCACACCTGGTGAGACTCCTGGGCGTCTGCTTGAGCCCCACCATCCAGCTGGTCACTCAGCTGATGCCCCATGGCTGCCTCCTGGATTATGTCCATGAACACAAGGATAATATTGGCTCCCAGCTCCTGCTGAACTGGTGTGTCCAAATAGCTAAGGTATGTGCTTCATGGTGGGGGCTTTTTTAATCATTTCTTATCGTTTTCATAACTAACTTTTAAACTTTTCTTTGTTTATGGCTTTTCTTTTTTTGTTTATGTTGGGCTTTTTTCAGGCCTGGTTTTGTTTCCAAGAATGTTGGGTGGTTCTTGAAATGCACACTATTTTGGCTGCTTGCAGTGTTATAGATGACTTGTGAATATGTGAACCAGAGTGTTTTTCTTGAGTGCCTTTCCAAATCATTGTTAATGAGGGGTGGAGTTCATTACCTTATGAAGGAAGGAGCTCTCATGTGAAATCTGGGGCTGGACACAGGGTGGTTTTCAGGCTCTTCTGTTGTTCACTGTTAATATATATGTTAATATATATATATATATTGGTTTTCAGCCCTTCTGGATATGCATTGCCAGATTATGTCATCAATTGTCTGCCCCCACACTGCCAGGAAGATAAACATGTCACTTCATAAAAATGTCCTCCATGTCACTCCCCAGGTGCTGACCCTGCTATGTTTGGGTCACAAAATACCCTTGATACAACATTTTACAGCTGGCTTTAGGTGTGTTTAAGTATTCAGTGTTGTACTAAAAAGGAGTACTCAGTACTAAGAAAATAGTTTGCAAAGAATAACAAGATCCTGCAGTGTAGAAGGCCATAAGTTACCCACTTTAAAGGTGCTTTTGAACTAGGGTTATTCACAATGATGTTACAAGTGTCAATCTGGAGCCTGCTTTTTGCATTGAGTTACTTGGAAGTTGTTTAAATTTTTGGATTATTTTGGTGAAAATGTTTGTGATAAACACGTGCCACTACTATCTTACATTAAATCTGCAGCCTTAAGTGAATTTCCCACAACACCTATTGCAAAATCTTAATTCAAGCTGTAATGTTAATCTTTTACTACTGAAGAAAAAAACAAACTGGGGATTCAGCAACTGTTTTGCTGGTTTATTTAGGGCTGATACCAGACCAGGGAAGGTGGGAGAGAAAATCCATATTCCTGTTTGAGTCCTTTCTCTCACCACAGCCTCCTCCCCATCTGTTCCTCACTCTTTTGATTTGATAGTGGCTGTTATGATTTGATGCCAAACATTTACAGAGTGGCATCAGTGCAGAGGTAATCCTCCATAATTTTCACTTTGTGTGTGCCTATGGCACCTTGGACCAGTGACAGCCATGTGAGATCTGAGGTGGTAACCAAGCAGTGAGATCATACCTCTAATATCAACTGATCCAGTGTCAGGAACAGAAAGGGAGTTCCTTTATAGTAAAAGGTGACCCAAATTTGAGAGAGTTTAGTGAAGGTTAACTAGTTTGAATTGAATAAATTTAATTTAAATTTAATTAAATTAAAATTTAAGTAAATTGATGTTCTTCCAAATCACAATAATCACGTCAAGTAGGGTTAGAGGGTGTACACAAAAAATTGTTTCAGCTATGGTAAGAGGAAAAAAAGACTGATCCCCAGAGGAACGAGTGCAGAAGGCAGCAAGAGGCACAAATTCCCATTCTCTGCAGGGAAGGGGTGTGTGTGTGTCCCACATTCCTGTATCCTCTGTGCCTGTGTTTCAGGTGATGCCATGTGGCTTGAGAGTGTCTCTCCACTGTTGCTTTTCCAGGCTGTGGGGAATGCTTGGTTGTGTCTTTCTGAGAGGTACCACAAGCATCATTAGCAGAGCAGTAAGAGGCAAAAATTATCAGTGACTTCTCAGTCCTGTTCTCTGCTCCCTGAAGCAGCTCCTGGTGTCTTTTGCTAAATGTATTCACCTTCCCTGTTTTTATGGAGAGGATTTTCCCCAACAAGAAGAGGACTGAAGCCACTGGAAATGCCTCAGATCTGAAGTTCAGGCTGATTTTTACGAATTGTTTAAAATCAAGTTGCTGCTGCAACACAGTCCCTCCCTAACTGCACTTTTCTCCATCTGCCAGCGTGCAGACACTTATTTATGGAAGTCACTGCTTCAGAGTTCACTTGTTCTGCCAGGCTGTTCATTTCCATATGTCTCTACTTCTGTACAACTAGATCCAAAGCTGGTTAGCCACTATGCCTGGTTGCCAACCCACATATGGCTCTGGAGATAGCTTCTGAAGGTTGATGACAGGGCAGTTATAAAGTATTATCTACTGCCAATTAGAAAAAGCTTGGGTGCTTTTTCTCTTTGCTTACACAGATTGTGTTGAATTTATTCTGGTGCTACATCATTGTAGGGTAATTGTGTTCTCTTTCCAGAAGCTTTAGCTTCTTATTTTATGGATGAAAGCTATAAAAATAGAGTAGCCCCCAAGCATTCTGCATAAAACATGGTTGTTAGACAGCAGCTGTGTCTAAGGGGGCTTTTCCCTTCTGCTTTGCAGATGATCAAGGCTTTTCCTGGTGTCTCACTTCGATGGGGACTGTCTTGCTTGGAAATGAATGTTAAACCTTTTAGCTCTGAAATCAGCACAGCAGTTTTATGTGGAGTTTGCTGTCCAGTAAAGCAGTGAACTGTGCTCATAATATATAAAGATATTTTGTAGTGGGAGCGAGAGTGCCCACCTTGGTGACCTCAGGGTATGGAAGGAGGGAGTAACACTTCATGAACACCCATAGTGCTGGCTGCTTGAGAAGTGGATTGAAACTCAAATTCTGTATGGATGGCACAGGGCTGGAAGTGAATTCTCAGCAGGTGAATCACATCCTTCTCAGCCAGGGTGTGACAGGTACACATAAGTCAGGAAGACTCCGCAAGCAAACAGAAAAGAGATCTGTGTGCATTGACATTTCTATGTGTTTGATCCAGTTTCTCTCAGCAAGGGCTGCCCCAACACACCCACACACATGACTTGGAGGTGTGAGGGTGGGGACATTCTTAGGGAAATGCCTTCAAGAGGGGAATACACAGCTGGAGGGTTTCAGTCAGGAAAGGTTGCTTACCCTCTGCCACTGGGTGAGGTTATCTAAGGGACCTGTGTTTGAGGCTGTATCCTCCCTCGGTTGCACTAGTGGAAAATGAGCTGGAATTCTGTTTTAATTATGATAGTGGGCTTTTGTGCTGTGCTAAACTCTCTGTCTCTCTCAGGGGCTTACAGAAATGCAGTTTTGCTTCTGCAACATTGCATCCAACACACAAACTTAACTATGCTAACTTAAACATAGACCTGGGCACTCCCATCTCCTCTTTTACTGTGTTGTAAAAACAAATTTGGGACAATTTTGTTACAATTGCAGTTTCTTTCTGCTGCTGTTCATTTGCATTACATCTGCACTCATTTTGCTGAGCAGTGTTCAAGGGCAGAGGAACTTTTCCTGCCCCAAAGAAGTCAAGGCAGAGGAAAAGTCAGGAGGCAAACTTCCTAACATGGGGCAGCTTGCCTATGATCACCTTGCCTGTGGAGGGCAGCTCAGCTCTCCTGGGTCTCAGCTGGGGCCCCACACTGCTCTGCCCTGTATCCCCCAGGGCCTGCCAGACCTGTTTTGTTGTGTTCTGAACTGTAATAGTTCTTTTCTAGCCCCTCAGAATACTAACGAGGTAAAACAGAAGTAGGTGGTTACAATGGAATGATGTGGAAGGAAAATCAAGTACTTCAGGGGATTACTTATTATACCTTTTCAATATAAAAGAATTCTCAAATTACCTTAACTAAATCCCTGCACAGCACTGGTTATCCAGGTATGCAGGAAAACAATGTTTGAAAACACTCTAGGAAGGAAAAAGAGAGAGGAACTTGGGGATCAAATTTTAACGAAGCAGATGCACGTCTCCAAGTTTGCCAAGCGCTCTTGCAGCACACTTGGAGTCATTGCTGTCTCTGAGGATCCCCTTCCAGAGGTACAGTGGAAGCCTCCAGGAGCCACCAAACCAAAGGCTCTTGCAAAGCTCCTTTCTGCTGCCCCATTACCTGTCCTGTTGAGCTGGTGTGGGTCCCAGGGCTCTGTGCCCTCCTGCAGCCCTCTTGGCCAAGGAGGGCTTGTCTCTCCGTGCCAGGCTTTTTTGGGAAGGTGTATTTATTACTGCAATTCTCAGCTGGGTATAAACTCACAGGCTATGTGAAGTTCAAAGGATCTGTGTTGATTTTTGAAGCTGATCCAGGAGCATCCTAAATCCAGTGGGTTTGGGCCTGCACTCCTCATGTCTGCAGAGAGGGAGGCTCTGAGCAGGGAGGGCTGGGGGCGAGGGAGGTTGCTCTGTGAGTTGAGGAGTCTTTCTTCTCCATCAAGACTTGATGGATTAGGAACAACTTGTGAGAGACAGCTTGTGTTACTCTGCTACAGATGGGAGGAGAGAGAAGCTCTGAGAAACGAGAGGATAACAGGGGGTAACTGGACAGGCTGGGAAAAGGTGGAGGACAGTGGCTGTGGTTCAAGGTCTTTCATTAAAGAAGCCTACCCTATAGCTCAATGGCTGTTCCATCCTGGAGTGAGCAAAGGAGCTTAATGACAGTCATCCATCAGCTGTCCACATTTTAAGCTTCAAGATGTCTCTGTTCCCAGAGCTCCTTGCCATGACAAGGCTAATTGTGTAATTATGCTGCCCTTCCAGTCCCTCCTGATGCACTGACCCTGGCCAGGACCAGGGCCAAGGGCTGTGATAATTATCACTGCAAGCAGGTCCATTAGCATAAATGTAGTTTGCTAATGGGGCTGCTCCATGAGGAAGTGCAGTGTACAGAAGAGTAGGATCTAAACCAAGGCCTATGAAATTAAAACCATATTGAAACAAGGCTTTAATTTTGTAGTGAAGCAAAATCAAAATACATGGGCAAAAGTGTCTTCTTCCTCTCTTGAATCCCTCTACAATTTCCTTTTCCTATTCCTGTTTGTCATGACTATTTTTCTCACTCAGCTGGAAAGCTTGGATATTCACAGATGGAAAGGAAGGATCCGTTTCTGGTGTCGTTGGAGAGCTCTCACTCCCAGGAAATATTACGCCATCAGTCTCAGTGAGGCATTACCCAACCTTGCCCATACCCAAGGACTTTTGGTACCCTTCTGGGTGGCTCCCAAAGCTCCTACAAACTTGAGAAACCCTTGCAGCAAACTTTGAGTGGATCTTGCAGACTTCTTCATCCCAGCTTTTCATTTCTAAGTAGTAGATGGTTCAGATTTCTTGCTTTGATGAACTGGTGTGTCTTGTGAGATGATGAGGAAGTTTCTTTTGATCCTCTCAGACATTATTATTATTTTTCCACATGCCAGGTATGTTTTTCTGCATAACTATGTACCTATTTATAGAGAATTCCACACAGTTTCCTTCCCCTTTGCTCATCAGTCATTTCTTCTGGAGGATTGAGCCAGTTTAGCAACTTTTCTACCAAACCCAGTACTCCACCAAGGTTTCCTGGGGAAAGTATTAAAAGGAAGGCTGTTGTGGACCCAATTTTCTGAGTCTGAGAGAGTTTTTCAGCCTGTCAGTGTCCGATCTGTTCCCAAGGGAAAGTTTCCTGAGAACATTTTCTCCCAAGGACTAATTTTGTAAATATCTTACAGTTCTCAAAACAGCTGTGCTGAGTGTGTTCCTCTTGTTCCACCAATGGGACTAGAGAGGTGTTGTTCTCTTTACTAATCATGTTAAACCTGTATCGAAACAGGTATAAATACATATTATATATAATATTATAAATATTATATATAATATATTATATATATATAATATTTTTATATATTATATATTTTTCTTATATATATATATATCAAAGGAGCTGAAAGGTTCTGAAATACACCCTTCTGATGATCCTCTTGCTGCCTATTGAATTGAATCCACGCTCCTTATTTCATGTCCAATGGTGACAGGCTTTGGGAGATGCACAAACCACAGTGGGTTCATGCACAACAGCCGACTTTATTGAGCCTCTCCTCCTGCTATAGATCAGAAGGCATATGTGGTTAATTCCCATTGGCCAAACCAGTTGCCACCTGGCCACCCAGCCAATAGTGGCCCGGATCCGTGGCGGTCGCGCCCGCTCTCCAAGGGGCCTCACTGGTTGAGTTACATAAGCAAGGTAATTATGTAATCAACCACATGTCACTTATAAAGTTGGGGTTATTTATAGCTGTGAGGCCTCCAGGCCAGCTGTAAAATTAATCATCTTAAATGCTGACCAAGTTCTTCTCATTTCCCTTTCTCCTTTCATCTCAGGTGGACCGTCCACTCGCTAAATTCCCAGTCTTTCTTTTGCTGAAATTTTCTTCTG